GGATCTGGCCCCTATTTGGCTAGCTAGTTGCAATGCCAGAGATTTGCTATGCAGTCTTGGGCAAGTCATTTAAGGAAAAAAGTTTTTTTTTGATGTCAGTTTTCTATTCTTTTGGGGCCCACCTTTGGAAAAAGGGTTTTGAAGTCTGTGGTTCAAAATACTTGCAAGCGCTAAGGACTAATATTTATTTTGTATGAGTTAACATTTAGCAGAAAGTGTTCTTTTGAGTGTCATGTATTGTAGGTGTTTAGATTTTCTTTTTATCCTTATTGCTGTATAGACATTGGGCCAGGTTCTGCTGGTGTAAATCTGCTATTTGCACTAGTTAAGATGCTGAAACATACTTTTTACATTAAGTATCCTTTGGTCCTAGGCAGTATAAATTATATACTTTTTGCCTTCAGGAGAAATGTTTTTTCATAAATGTTTGATAAGTGTATTGTGCCAGATTATGTAACTAAATAGATCTAAGTTACCAATGTCATCTTCTCTTGCCACAAACACATTCCCTTGAGACATGTGATATATGATTAACATACTTAAGCAGTATGTGTAAAAAAAGGGTGTAGGTTAATTCCTGCATGGAAACTACTTTTGGGTAGTTTTTGCAATTGAAATTCACTGGAACTGGGAAGGTAAAGGGACAAAGTTTATTTCAGAAATCAGTTCAATATGGGTTAAATTTGAAATCTAGAATTTAGTTTAAGATCAGTGGGGAGAGGTAGTCAAATGTGTGGATATGTGCTAGATATAGGGGAGTATAGAACCTGTAATATGTTTGGAATATCATAGGCTGTTGAAGATGTTTAAGGGTGAGAATTTAAGTTTTTTAACCTTTCCAGGATTCTGTGAGGGAGGAGGGTAACAGGTAGGAACAGGGAAGAACTTTCTTTCTTTCTGTTTCTCAGAAAGATAAAACTTCAAAATATTTTAAAGATTAAGCTTCCTGGAACCTAGCACTTCTCTGTGGTGTTTCTCCCCTATCATGAGAACTCTATAAATACAGGCAATAAAGGCAGTGTGTGTACATACTTGTGTTTTGTGTTGAGTGCTCCTTTAGATACTGCCAACTTTCCTAGCTACTAGCTACAGCTAATTAGTAAATACAGAGAGACAGCAGCTACAAATACCAGTTTCAACATTTCTCCTTTTCATAAGTCAAAAATGTTTCTGTTAGGACTTCATTGCTCAGGTAGGTTCTCTGCTCCTGTTCCTGGCCATTTGTATTGGTAAGGTAGCATAAAGTGGCTGGAATCTGGTTTTAAGAGGCCAAATGAGAATTTTTCTGGTGTAGTAGGGTCTTGGTTGTAGCTGTGTTGGTCTAAGGACATAGGCAGACAATGTTCTTTGGGTAGCTGTGATATCTTTTATTAGATCAACTAAATAGCTGGGAAAATTGTTCTTTGAAAGGTTTTGGGCACAAACACCTTTCTTCAGCCTTAGAGAGAGCCTGCTGGTGAATTTTGTGCTTTCTTGGGTAGAATAGAAACCAATATGCAAAATTCAGGTCTGTGAAAATGCAAATGCATGGCAGTGAGGATCAGAGGGAGAGGAGACAATAGGTGTGAGACAGGTGGGGTGGGGAAAGGGGGAATGTTGAACTGGTGATACAAGAATGTAGCTGGTAAAATAGAGACAGGTTACCTGGGGTTATTGTATGGCAGGCCGGTTATAATTTGCCATAAATCCAATGTCTATATTTAGTCCATGATTTTTTGTATCTAGTAGACTTATGAAGTGAAGTTCGTAGACTTGTCTACGAAAGGCGGTCTTGATTGTTTCACAAAGCTTCACAAACTCAGCCACAGGCACTGAGGCCAGGGCCAGCAGAATGCAGACTGTGTCCCTGCGCCCCTGCCCACGTTCTCCTGCCCCTGCTCCCAGTGCCTGATGCAGCGCTGGGAGTTTTTATGAAGCTTTGTGAAGCGCTCAGCACTGCCTCAGACGTTGGAAGCCCCTCCCCCTCTGCATATATGGGGGAAGCACCTGGCTCTGGGTGGCAGATAGCTCAGTAGCCTGTTGGTGCTGATGCCTGTGCTGTGCAAACTGAGCTTTTAATGTTGCGTATTATTCAGTTTATTTTGCTCTGTGAAATCATTTCATACTCAGTTTTTGCTGTCTGAAACCAGTTAATATTGGTCAGTTTTTTACTTTCTTAAAAAAGCTCATATTCGGTTTATTTTGATCTCTCTACTTTACATTCCTAGATTTGAACAATTCATATTGTTCACTTTTATGTGTGTTTTTCTGCTCTGATTGACTTCTTGGAAATACTTATCCAGATTTATACAGACTTCAAATAATTCAATTCTTTCTGGTTTTCTGCTTTCTGTTTTTATGTTTACATTGTTTGCCCTGCCTTTGGTTTGCATGAGCTTCAGAAAATTTTACAGTTAGAAGGCATACAAAGGTAGTATATTAAGTTTTATTTATTGTCACCAGGTTTAGAATTTTTGGAAAACCTGATATTTACTGTGAAAAAAGCAACATTTATGATTATTAACTATATTAATATGCAGTGTATCCTACCGTGTACCTTCCACCACAGTTTTGTTTTGCTGGCATGCTAGCACTCCAGCACCTTACAAGCTAGACATTGTAGGTTTTTTGGCACTCCAGCCAAAAATGTTGCCTACCCCTGACTTACAGGGTGGCTTTACTACAAGTTAATCCTATTTCAGTGTATGTACCTGAATGAGTTCTAGGCACCCCAAGAAGTATGGAACCTACACTTCCTTCTTCCCAGCAAAGTACAGTACCCACCAACCTTTGCTCAGACCCAGTATCCAGCCTTGCTCTTAAACAGGCCTACTGGGTGGCCAAGCAAGGGACATATGTGAGGCTAGGAGATTAAGTACTCAGGAGTGTGTCTACACAAGACACTTTACTGTGCAGTAAAGCATCACTATGTAACTGAGAGCAGCAGTTACTCTGCATTGAAATAGATTAATGCACAATTTTCCATTACCTGTAAATACAGGTAGTAGATTTAATGTAAATTATCTAATGCGCAGTAGTGCATGGTTACATAGCTAGCCAGGCAGTAGGGGTGGGAGAACTGCCCTCTCCCCCAGGCAGCTGCCTGACTCCTAGCCCCCACTCAGATCAGCCAATTGGAGAGGGGCCTGGGACAGTGTCCCTTGGCCCCACAGCAGGCAGCAGGCAGCTGCCAGCCCCGGTTCAGAGCTTGGAGCCAGGGCTGGGACATTGTCCCTTGCCCTAGGCATCTCCCTGCTACTCCAATCTTGGACCCTGGGAGGGGACAATGTCCCCTGCCCCCAGAGCAGGCAGCAGCTCTTGGGCCCTGGCTCTGATCCCAGAGCCAGGGCCCAGGAGCTGCCTGCTACAGAGGCAGGGGACATTATCCTAACCCCCACTCCAAGATCAGAGTGGGAGTCAGGCAGAAGGCAACTGTTCAGAGCAGGGATGGTAGAGTGGGAGGCAGCTGCCCCAGAGGGGGGACAGCTTCTTCTCCCACTCCCAGGAACCCAGGCTGGACCCTGTTGCCCGCTGCCAGCCCAGAGCTGGCACCTAGGGGAGCCTAGAGCTCCCCCTGGCTGCTATATTGTAGGAGAGCAGGACAGGAGTATCCCTGCCCTGACCTGCAGATAAAGGTACTAGAAATCAGCACCTTAAAGCAACGCACCGAATTGTAAGTATAGATGCTGACTGGGAGCAAACTTCTCCCAGTCAGCCTAAGCTGCAGGGGACCGCAGGGGGTGGGGAGAACTGTCCTGGCTCAGCAGGATGCTTCCTGCTACCCACATGGAGATCAGGACCAGTTCTAATCTCTGCAGGGTGGAGAGAGCTGTCCTGGCTGGTGGGAAGAGCTGTCCTGGCTGCTGGGCAGCTGCCTCCCAGCCTTGTTGGAGATCAGGACCCATCCCAGCAATTGGGACAGCTCTCCCTGCCCTATGGAGATCAGGATCACCTTCCGTGCACCCTGCCAGCCTGGGGCTGGCACCCAGGGGAACCTGGAGCTCCCCCCTGGCTGCTGCAGGGCGGCAGATCAGGGCAGGAGCAGCCCTAGACTGAACTGCTCCCATCAGAAGCAAATTTGCTTCTGATGGGCACATGTTCAGATGCGCGCCTAGTGACACCGCTGTTGCCCTCGAGTCAAGGGGGCCCTAGGTTCTAGCCTGGTTCCTTTTTCCCCTGGAGGGGAGGTGGAAACTTTTCCAATACTTTCTATCCAATGAATATTAAATGCATAGTACAGTAAGGCCAGCTTCAAGAGGCAAACTGGAGAGGGGCCTGGTCTTATGGCTAAGGTACTTTGCTGTCTAGCAGGAGATGTAGGTTCTAACCCCAGTCTGGGTATAGGGTACTTAGAACCCTGGTCTTCTACTCCATTGCCAAGTACTATAACACTAGTTTCTTCAGCTAAAAAGTAGGAGGAACCTCTTTTTCCAGCCAGTTCATAAGCAGGCTGATTCTTTTTGCCAGAAAGGGAAATAGAATCTAAAACTATGCATAAGTCAGTGGTATGCAACCTTTCCAACCAGTGGGACGAATGGGCAGCGCTCAGGCCATGTGCAGGCCAGATCTGGCTTATGGTCCCAGCCTGACACGGGCCTGGTCTCATTCACCTGCAGGGGTGGAGGGAGGGGGCATGACCTGGCCCCAGCCTTCTGCTTGGGGCTTGGGAATTTTGGCAGCAGGGGAACATGGGCATATTTATTGCCACCACATTTCCTAATGTGTGGGGAGCTCCGTGGGCCAGATACCTATGGCTCTGTGAGCCACATTTGGCTGGTGTACCAGAGGTTGAGCACCCCTGTGCATTAGCACTAAAAACTGCAGTTATGTGGCTATGTATGGGTCAGTTAGGCACATAAAGTGAAAAGGGTTGTACGTCTGTCTCCAGTGACCTGCAGTAGCTGTGGTGACTTAAGGTTCGCCATAATTGTGGGAACTGCATTTCAGAATTGATTTGTAATCATATGAATTTGTGAAACTTGGATTATGTACATGTTGTATTTTTAATGATATTTCAGTACACCCAGAAGACCAGATCAATTGGATCACCCAGCAGGACAGAGATCAACTTCCCCATCCCTTACACAGCCTGCTCAGACTGGTGAGAGCACAAGAGATATGAGGCGTCATGGTCAGGCCAGCCAACAGGCAGATGGACCTAGGAGGACTCTCCAAGTGGATACCAGAAGTCAAAAATCAGGACGGTCTCCCTCTGTTTCACCAGACCGAGGCAGCACCCCTACCTCACCTTATTCTGTCCCACAAATTGCGCCCCTTCCAAGCAGCACTCTTTGTCCTATATGCAAGACAACAGAACTCACTTCCTCCCCTAACCAGCCAAACTTCAACACCTGCACACAGTGTCACAACAAGGTCTGCAACCAATGTGGATTCAACCCTAACCCCCATCTCACTGAGGTAATTGCTTCTATTTTTCTACAAAATTTTATTCAAAATGTCAAGTCAGGAAGTGGGTAATAAAATGATTTAATACCTGATCATCTTTGAAATTTTTAAGATGCAAAGAAACAGATTGGTGTCCTGAGGGAACATGTTTTGCAGGTCTAAGTTCAAATTTTAGACGATGTCTTCCTTTCCTAAAGCCTGGAGATTGTATCTTCATCTTCTGTATCCATGAATGGTTAGCATCCTTGTTTCTTTTAACAGTGACGCTTCTGGCTAATCAGTGGATGTTTGTGTTTATCTGAGGCTTGTAGGGGCAGAAAGGGAAGTTATGATATTCAGTAGGCAAGCTAGTCCTTTGTGGAGGCACAGTTTTCATTTAGGTTCCTGTTTTCAGATGGTGAGCTCATGGATTTCCTGAGCCAGGGAAGTACTATGTGCATGGAAGTGTCCTAGGAGTGAAGAATTTATTCTACAGTGTGAGCTGAATGCAGTGACAGGTGGCAGTACTGGAATGGTGATATTTTAGTTTTTGAGTGATGCAGGTGTTAAGTTTTGCTTTGAATGAATGCCTGACAGTATTGGAAACTGATATTTTCATTAGATTAGCTGGTGGGAGAAAAGTGAAAATACTTGTTTGCAAGTTGTTGTCTACTTGTGAAGTGTTTCACTTGCAGTGTTTGATGTGGGATGTGTAAAATATATGCATGATATTCCTGTGGGCAGATTTGACAGTGTTTGGGGTAGCCGAGTGACACAGTACTGAGGACATGCTGGTGCGTGGGATTCGTTGAATCACTTGATCAGTCTTATTTCCATCTCTGGCTGTGAGTACATATAAATTCTTAGCTGAAACACAGGACAGGTAACTTTTTTTGCCACTCTTTGGGAGGCAAATAGTTGAAAAATATTAAAATCTCCATACATTTCCTAGGTAAAATTAATGAAGTGTCAGAATTTTGGGTAAAATTTTCAAACGCACAAATATAACTTAGGTACCTACATTCTATTTTCACTTAGGGTTTGCTACACCATCATAGTGGTGTGTCATAGCCAAGGTGAGTTTGAGTATCCTCTTCCATACCTTGCTTACCCCTGTCCACAGGTATGATCCATATGCAGCAATTCACCCATGAGTGAGGGTGAGGAAGTTGAGGATCATCTTGGTCCAAACATGCTGCTGCTGCAGTATAGGCAGACCCTTAAGCTTAAGTTAATGTGAATCTTCAAATACCTGAGTCATAAAGGTATCTTTAAAAAAATTATCTTAAAGAGCAGCCAGTGACTCTACAGGTAATGGAAGGAAGAGCCTGTCACTAAGAAAGTATACTAAAGAACAGTATGAATGTGTAGGGACAAAGTTAGGAAAGCAGTAGCAAAAACTCAGTCATGACTAGAAAAAGCTGTTCAAAACAACAAAGAATAGTTAGAAAAAAAAGATTAGGCAAGCCATGGCTTTGATCATAGTGGAAAAGGTGAGCTATTAACAGAAGACACAAAGAAGGTAGTTTCTCAGTGCATCCCATGCTTCATTTTTCACAGAGACTTGTTAAATTAATTTAAATGAGATTGGGATGCAGATTACAATAAGTAAAAACCATGGCAGAATTTTTTTCCCCACAATGTAAATTAATTTAGGTCAGCAGGATGTAGCAGAATTCTTCCCTGGGTCCTGAGTGAATATCAGAGCCACTTACAATGTTATTTGCTAACTCATTAATGACAGTTGAGGTCTCAGAGAACTGGAGAAGAGGTAAGATAATGTCCGTTTTTTAAAAATAGAAGAATGAGATCCAGGGAATCACAGAACAAACAGTCTCACTTCAATACTTGGGAAGTGTGACAGAAGTATCCTTACTGGAGTCTTCCTATTGGTGACTCCGCCCTCCTGTTATGGGCCAACCGCCTGCTTACTCACCTGCCAAGCCTTGATCTTAATTGATTAATTGATTGATGTAATTAGCAGGAGGCTGCCCACTCTATGCACCCCAGTGCCAGGGGGCACTATCTGCAGCTCCTTTTCCTCCCCTACACCGCAGCCCAAGCCTTGCAGATGGTACTGACGTGGTTTTGACTTGGGCCCTGCTGTGATTTGGCCCTCTCCTTTACCTCCTCCTCACTGCCCCCTCTCTCTGGGGCTTCTCGCTCCTTGTGGCCCTCTCTTCGGGGCTTCTCACTGCCCCCCCCCTTGCTCTGGGGCTGAGGTTAGTGTACCCTAAAATGCCGCGCCCTCTCTGGTGCTGGGGTCCCCATGCTACCGTGGAGCCCCTATGAGGCCTCCTCCAACCCCTAATAGCCTCCCCTGGTCCTCCGGTTAAAACAGCGAACGCAAAAACACAAAGCCCCTGGGCTATACCATAAAAAGCTAAACCGTCTGGCCAAACAACATTCAGTCCCTACTGGGAAAATAGTCCAACCCACAGCAGCGACCAGGGGCTGCTCACGCAGTCAGGGTTCTCCCCTCCGTCTACACTGGCCGAGCTCCTCCCTCCCTCGGCTGCCAGAGGAGAACTGGCCTCATGCCTGGGCTTATATGGGCCAGGCCCTGCCCCTTCCTCTCAGCTGGCTCCCCAGCAGTTGTCCTGGCAACCAGCACCTGTGACTCTGGCTGCCCTGGTAACTGGCAGCTGGGCCTCCCCCTTCTTGCCATTAGGGGTCTCTCCTGAGCTGTTTCTGGTCTCAGGCGCAGGACACCTGAGTGCTCTGCGACAGGAAGGCATTAGAACAAATTATAAATATTAAGTTTGTAAACATTCAAAGACAGAAGGGTGATTACTAGCTGCCTACACAGTTCTGTAAAGAGCAAACCATGACATTTTAACTTGATTTCTTCCTTGGACCTAGTAACTTGTTTGGTGTATAAGGAAAGGCAGTGGATGTGTCATACCTAGATTTTAGTAATACTTTTGGCACAGTCCCATGTGACTTTTTAGTAAGTATGATTGAGAATTGTGGGTTAGATAGAATTACTAGTAGGTGGATTCATAATTGGTTGAATGACCACAAGCAAAAAAATAACTATAAATGGATTGACATCAGAATGGCAAGAGTTCTCAAAAGGATTCCACTGGGTCTTCTCTGGATTTGGGGCTGATTAACATTTTTATTGATAACTTAGGTAAAGGACTGGAGAGCTTATTGATCATGTATGCACATGACCAAACAGAGTGGTTTCAAGCACTTTGCAGTTTAGGATTAAAATTAAAAAGGATATGCATAAATTGATGAACTGGGAAATAGATAACAAAATATAATTCAGGAAAGACAAATGTAAGGGGGAAAAAGAGGAAGAAAAAAACAAATGCACAAATATAGAATTCTAATATAATAAAAGCTGTAGCGCTTCCAGCTGTGTGGGTGTCTGTCTGTAATGTTCTGGGCTAACTGCACATGCGCTGCCCGTATCCTTACTGACAGATAGACACACAGGCGGAGGCGGTGGGAGCCAGGCTGTGCCCCACCACATGGAGGGAAGGGGAGGTGAGTGGAGGCGGGGCAGTGGGGGGGCATGGCGCATGGCCCTGTTTGGGTGTGGCATGTGGCATGGTTGGAGGGCACGGTGCGCAGCCACAGAGTGCCACACAGGGAGTGGCTGCGGGGTGTGCCAGCAGAGCTCACTGGCTGCAGCACATGGTCACAAGGTGGGGCGTGCCACCCGTGGCCGTTCCCTACGCAGCACCCTGCAACTGTGTGCCATGCCCCCCCCGCGTGGGGGGGTCACCCGCTGGCTATGGCTGTGGGGCACAGGGCACACAGGGGGGTGTGGTAGGTGCAGGAAGGGCCCGCCGGGTGCAGCATGCTGCCGCAGGGCACAGCATACATCCTGCGGCCACAAGGCATGCCCCCCCCCACATGGGGAGTGCCTTCTGGCTGCAGCCATGGGGCGTGCAGGGGCGGGGGGGAGTTGACATGTGGGTGCACGGGCAGCGCCCGCTAGCTGCAGCACGTTTCTGCAGGGTGGGGTACTCCCCCAATGCCCGCTCCCTGTGCAGCACCCTGCGGCTGTGTGCCACACCCCCTGCGTGTGTCCTGCGCCACACCCCAGAGCCGTACCCCATTCCATATAGCCAGCGGGTGCTCCCACCACTGTGGCCACTCCCCACGCCACGCCCCTCGGGTGTGTGCCACCTCCCTTGCCCATGCAGCCAAGCACCCTGCACCACACCCTGGGGCAACTCCCCATGGCACATGGCTGCAGCTGGCAGGCAGTTGCCATGCTGTGGCTGCTCCCCGTGCCATGCCCTGCAACCATATGCCACTTCCTCTTCATGTGTGCTTGGCACGCTTCCCCATGCATCATGCCACGCCACCCCGGAACATGCCCTACAGTTGTGCGCCTCCCCTCTTGCATGCCCATGTGGCATCCCCCCCACGTGCCATGCTAACCCCTCCATGCGCTATGCCCCCCCGCATGCCCTGTGCTACATCTTGGGGCTGCTTCACATGGGCACAGTCTGCAGGCACTCCTTGCACCGTGGCCCCTCCCTGCACCATGCCCCATGGCCATGCATCATGCCCCCTGTGTGCCCCATAGCTGCTGCCCATCCCACGGGGCTACAGCCAGCAGGCATTCCACGCACCCCTGTGCCATGGCCGTTTCCTGTGCCATGCCCTGCGGTCATGCATCGCACCCCCCAGTGTAGCGAAGCACCATGGCCCCCCATGTCATGCCCCGCAGCTGCTCCTCATGCCATGTAGGTGCAGGCTGCGGCCACTCCCCACACCATGGCAGCTCCCTGCTCCATGCACTCTGTGCTACACTCTGGGTCTGCTGCCAGCAGGCAGTCCCTGCACCCCCATGTCGTGGCTGCTCCCTGTACCATGCCCTGTGGTTGCGCACCACACCTCCCTGTACCATATCCCAGGACCACTCCCCATGCCATGCAACTAGCAGGTGCTCCCTATGCTATGGCTGCTCCCCACACCAGGGCGTGTGCCACACCCCCCCTGCATGCTCTACATCACACCCCAGAACCACTCCCCGCTTCACACAGCCAGTGAGCGCTCCCTGCACT